GGTGATGGGGGGCACTGGGGCAGCCTCATGGTGCTCAAAGGCCACTTCCTTGCTTCCCCCTACCCTAATTTCAGGCATCTGCTTGGCAGAGCCTGAGGGCTTCCCGCTGCAAAGGCCATCGGAACATTTTAATAGCGTGCTTTTGCCTGGCTTCCTTCCTGGGAATAAACCACGTCCTGGTGATACTGAGCATTAAAAAAAAAAAAAAAAAAAAAGGCAGTGTTAACGGTCAGCAGCCAAAACTGGGAGTGGGCAGAGCTGAAGCCACCCCCCACCCCAGCTCAGCCCACCCTGCTGGGGCTGAGGGGACATGACCTGCCAGAGCCCAGCCATGGGCCCACCCCCACTGCCGTTGCAAAACAGGATGCAATAAAACCCCATTTGGAGCCAGAGTGACAGTAGGGAAGGGCGGAGGGACGGCTGGCTCGTGCCGGGTGGCTGCTGCGGGCAGCACTCATGGCAGCTGTGCCATGGGGCCATGTGGCAGCCGCCTGCACCATGGAGTGGTGTGTTTGGGGAGGCTGGAGCTCAGTACGTGGCTGCCCTGTCTCCCTGTGCCCAGCAGTCCTTGCTCTCCCAGGAGCAAGGGGCACAGCCCCAGAGGAGTCACATCCCAGGAAGGGGCCCCCATTGAGTGTCTCCCTGGAGCAGCCGCTGCAGCTTGAGGACAGCAAGGGGCACTTGTCCTGAGCCATCCCCAGGAGTCACACCTTCACCGAGCAGTGAGGGTGCTTTGAGCTCCCAGACTCACCATTGCCATGGAGGCTGGGAGAGTTTTGTCCTTGCCTGCTCAACCTGAAGTTCTTTCCAAAGTGTATTGTAATTATTAAACTACTTTTTAGCCTGAATGAAGTGAAGGAAGAGTGTCCCACAGGGCACTGTGAGTTACCCACTTGTCCCCAGTGTTGCCCCAAGCTCTGCTGAGTGTGGTGTGGACTGGAGTCCCCGTCCCCACTGGCACCCCACTGCTGAGAGGAAACAGAAACACTGCGATAACACCAAGTCCAGAGGGGAAGTTTCTGAAAAACTATGTCAGATAAGTCACTGCAGCCCCTGTGCTTTCAACCTGAATACCAACCCATGGATTTTTCTGTGGGTTTTGGGCAGTTGTGGCTTTTTTGGAGGGAAGATGGAGCAGGGGAGCTGTGGGATGAGCACATTTGGTGGCAGCTCGCTGCCTCTGGGTTGTTGGAGCTTGGCTTCCTGCAGCAGCATTTCTGGGGTATGTGGAGTGGAGGCTGGGGCTGACAGGGGTTCAGGCTGTGACATCAGCACAGGCTTCAGAGCCCCAAAACTGTGGAATGAGTCTGTCAGGGCTCAGCTCAGGTGGGCAGCCTGGCAGTCATGCCATCAGTCCCAGAGAGCTCCCACAGCACGATTGCTTAGGTGTGAACCCAGATCAAAGCCCTTCCTGCAGGTGGGGTGTGTTGGGTGTGCCATATGTGGCTTTTCCACTGTGTAAAAAGGGGTTGAGCTGTGGAGCAGCCCGCCCCTGTGCTGGAGGAAAGGAAACCCTCTCTCTCCCTCCCTAGCTGCTCATTTTTGCCAGCCTTGTTGACCTCAGCATGTTTGCAGATTGCCGCCCCCCTGTCCACAGGGATGGAAATGTGGTCAAAGTTTATTAGAAGGGCGCCAGCTGCACACACACACGTGTGTGTGTGTGTGTGTGTGTGTGTGTAGGCAAAGCGTGGCAGTGTGACCTTTGTTTTCTTAGGAAGCCACACTGAAAGGCAAGGCCAGGAGGGGAGGAAGCAAACAGGCAGGAAGGGGGGATGCATTGGGTGTATTTTCAGCTGTGCTCTGCCTCCCTGCAGCATGGGAAGGTGACTGGGAAGGAGGGCACAGGGACAAATGGTGGCAGCAGGAGCCTGAGCCCAGAGAGTAGCACGGGGACTCATCCTGTGCACCCCACGTCAGGGCATCAGAAACAGTCACTGTGTCCCACTGGAGCAACACGTTTTGCCAGTCTGTGGCGCTGTCACAGAGCCATGTAGCACCTGGCCTGTCACCTAAAGGTGCTTTCAGGATCATTTCGGGGGATTTCTCCTGCAGAGAAGAGGCTGGGGACTGTGAACACCCTATCCTGCTGGGATGTCCCTCTTCCTGGCACAAGGGTATTTACCCCCTGGTGCTTTGCTTGTGCCAGAGGAAATCTGCCTGTCAGGACACTTCCAGCAGGCACTGGGGCATAGATGTGGCAATGGAGCCCTTCAGCTGCCGTGACTAATTTTCTTCCCCATGCCAGGCCAGGTTGCAGCTGGACTTGTCCCCTTCCAACATACCAGAGGCTGCTCTGAGGTCTGGGTCCTGCTCTTCTGTGTTAGGCAGGTGACATCCCACGTACTCACCTGTGGCTTGGTCTGCAGGAAGGAGGGATGCTGCCCAGCTGGCCACACCAGGGTGATGTGCTTGGTGGTGGCCATCCCTCAGAGCTGGGCCACCGTGTCCTTCCCGTGGGGCGAGGAAGTGGCAGAAGCCTGGGTGTGCTCTGCTGTGGGTGCTGGCCTCTCTTGCTCAAACATACACATTCCTCCTTTGTGGCAGGCCAAGCAATGCCTTTTGTATCTGACAGGAGGCAGGTGCCTCCAGCCTGGCCACTGCCATGTGAAATCACAGGGTCCCCAGTATCTGATTCCCAGGGGACAGACACCGCCTGTGCCCATCGCTTGGGTCACCAGGGTGCAAACAGCAGGGCAGAGCGTGGCAGTGCTGCTGTGATGGTACCTGGGGATGTGTGGGGCTGTGGGGTTTCTCTGGCAAGCCTGGGCAGGCAAGGACATCATCCCTGCAGCTGTCAAAGGGGTTGTGACAAAGGACACTGTGCAAGAGGACTGTCCTGGGACAGAGCAGAGGGAACCAGACCCTGCCCTCCTGGGGGATGGCAGTGTCCCCAAACCCACTGCTAACCCCCAGTACCCCAGGGATGTGCCAAAAGGAAGAAACCAGGATGATTTTCAAGAAACCATACCAGGGCCAAATCCTTGGATGTTTCATGCTTGCAGCCACAGTGCCTCTTTTCCAGCTACAATGGAGTCCCCTCCATCAGGGCCCTGTAGCAGTTCTACTGTCCCTTGAGGCAGTTATAAAGCCATGTATGGAAGGACCCCAGGAACAGAGGCTGAGCTGAGAACAGCCAGAATTGGTTCTTTCCCAAAACTGCACCCATTCTGTCCCATCACCAGCTGCCCAGCCAGTCACCATCCCACATTGGACCCAGCCCCTTCCCAGAACAGCTGTAGGTCCTGGATGTGGTGGCAGAGGACGCAGAGCCAGTGTGGAGACTGTGAAGCTGTGCCATACCAGGGGAGCAAGCCTGGGAGCAGGGAGACACTCATTGCCCAGCCCTGCCCAGCCACAGGGTCAAGGACCAGCCTGTGCCCAAGTGCCAGAGTGGTGCCATGCTGGAAGGACCCCAGCCAAGGCTCTCGACGTGGGATGTGTTGAGCATCCACAGCATCTCAGAGGCAGGGAAGTCAGCCCTGGTGACTCAGAGGAGAGCAGAGAAATTCAGACTCCTCTGCCCTCTGACTGGTTTCCTGGCTCCTCTAAATTTGCATAACAGCCCCTGAGCTGCTCCCTGGGGCCACAGGGACCCCTGTGGCAGCCGGGCCCCCCGCAGCAGCTGCAGGTTCCTGTGGTCAGCCCCAGCTCTCGCTCTTGCTCATGCAAACAGCCGCACCAACGGCTCCCTGCACTTGGGGGCTGGCAAGAGCCTGCCCTTGGTCCCCAGCCAGGGCTCATCCCCATCCCCAGTGCCATGGGGGACTGCAAGCCCAGCTGGGGTGCCTTGCACTGCGTGGGTGCTCAGCCGCGCTCCAGCCAGCACTCAGGGCAGCTGCATCCCTCTGTCAACAGGGATGAGAGAAGGTGGCTCTGTGGGGTGGCTGTGACCGATGTCTCCTCCATCCTCTGCTCACACAAGGCCGGTGGCTTTGGCACAGAAGCGCCGCTCTGGCATCCAAGTTCACCAACGGTTCGCTGGGTGACTTCCCACAGTGCAAAGGTTGAGGCCTCTTGTGCTTCCCAGTCAAGCCTGACGCTTCCCCAGCACTCGTGGGAACCCACCAGGAGCAAAGAGCACACCCAGGTAGGACGGCTAAACACTGCATATCTGACCCCTCTCCTGTCTCCCAGCTCCAGCCAGAGTCACTAGCATGTCCCCTCCAAGCCCAGAGCAGGGGTCAGGGAATCAGGGACAAGGAGGAGAAGTGACAGCTGAGATCCAGCATCCGTGATGCTGTTGGCTGGCTCCAGCCGTCACTGCTCAGGTCAGGAGGGAGCTTTTCTGCTTCCAAGGACATGGCACAGTCTGGGAGTGCAGCAGGGCTGTGGCCAAAATGCCAAGGTGGGGCAGGGCTGAGCTGGGGCCTGGAGGGCTGTAGGCAGGTCCCACTGCAGCAGGGCTGGCGGAGCATGGAGCAGGGCTGCAGCTGCTCCCGGAGCCACTGCTCGTGGTACTGTCTGGTGACAGGGCAGCTGCAGGGACACCCCAGGCCAGGTTAGAGTCCCCCTAAAGCTGGTACCTGGGCTGTAGGTCTGTTCAGGGCCAAACGTCAAAGGTTTTCGGAGAGGTCTGCCCATGGGCACTGGGACAGCCTGAATGTGCCCATACCGGGGCATACCCCAGCCCGGGGCAGCAGCAACCCACAGCACTGATCCCACCCCCTCGAGATGCCCTACAATAACAGACAGACTCCAGCGAGCTGCTCTGTGCTCACCCCACACCCTCAAGCCGCCTGTGACACCGAGCTGTCCCCAACGAGCCCCGACATCTCCACCAGTGGGCAGCACCCCGGCTCCACCAGCAGCCCCCCTCACCCCAGCCTGCTCTGCCTAAGTGCCACCAGCGCAACACCCCCAGCCCCACCATCCCGAACCAGCGGGTGCGAGGGAGGGAAAAAAAGTAAATAAATAATAAAAGCCAACCACCCCAGACCCGGCAAAACGGCGACCGGGCCTGCCACACCTTTATTGGGGTGCAGGGGAGGGGGATAAAATACCTGCCGAGGGGGATGCTCGGGTCCCGGGGCTGCCGATGCGGCGTGGTCCAAGGCTCTTCCCGGCGGCGGTGGAGGCTGCCGTCGGCACGGCACATCCCGGCACGGCGCGGCACATCCCGGCACGGCGCGGCACATCCCGGCACGGCACGGCACATCCCGGCACGGTACATCCCGGCACGGCACATCCCGGTCCAGAGCCCGGCGCACAAAGGGCTCCGCTTTTAAAGCCGCAGCCGGGGTCCCCCTGCCCCGCAGGGCCCGGATTGGTGTTGCGGGCAGCGCTGCGGAGGAGGAGGCGGGGGGGGCCAGGCAGGGGGGAGAAGAATTAAAAAAAACCCCCCCCCACCCCCCCCCCCCAAAAAAAAAAAAAACACCAAAAACAAACAAAAAAAACCCAACCAACGAAGAAAGAAAACAAACAAAAAAGCAAACACTGGAGGGAGAAGCGCAAACCAGCCCCAAACACCGGAAAAAACAGTCCCGGGGATGCCCCGGGCACGACACCGTCGACGCCTCCCGCCTGCGGGGCTGGGGGGGCTCTTGGGGGCCCCCGGTGCTGCGCGGAGGGGCCAGGCGGGAAAGGCTGGAAACCGCACACCTCCTGTGGAAAAAACTTGCTACTGCCGGGCCTGGTGAGATGGGGGTGGGCAGATGTTCACTCGTGTTGCGAGCGACTCCCGTCTCCAACTCCTTGGGGCTCCCGGCCCCTCTCCAGTCTCCAGTCTTCACCTCGGGGATGTCCCGGCCCGCCTTGGTTCTATCCCGTGGTTGTAGCTGGGTGGGTTTTTTTGGAGGGGGGGGGAAGGTGTCCGGGGAGCTGTGTTTTCCCAGCTCGTCGGCAGGGGGTATGCTTGTACCGAATAATCCATCTCTTTTGTCCGGGATGCTGGCCCCCATCCCCGTCCCCTCGGGGCTGCGGGCAGGCAGGAGCCCCGCGAGCTGCCAGAGCCGGGGGGCCGGCGGGGAACCTGCCCTTGCCGACACCAGCACCGACACAGCAGAGCTGAGCTGCTGCTGGGTGCACCCCACAGGGCGATGGGCGAGAGAACAGCCCTCTTCACCCCTTTCCAGCCGCTTGAAGGTGCCTCCAGCCCCACCAGAGCCGCTACAAAGGGCTCTGCTCACCTCCCTGGGCCCTGGGCAACAACGTGTTGGGACAGAGAGCCATGAGCTGTACAGTAATGACTTCCCTTGGTGTTAATTGGACAGCAAAATTAACTCAGTGACTCCTCTCTCAGTACCGTAATGTGTGGCTGCTGTCTCATGTCCTCATGAAGAATTTCCCCTGGCAATGCCAACAGAGATGGAGATGGATGCTATGGCCTCTTCCCCTCTCTGCACTTCTTCTGTTATTTTGTGGGTAGCTCTGCCTGAGCAGTTGGTAGCCCCAGGAAGGGGGGAAACTGAGGCACTCAGCTGGCACCAACAACCTGTGTCAAGCCTACTCACACACCAGAAAAAAAAAGGTTTTAATTCAAAGCAGTGATCCAGGAGCCCTCAGCACTGCTCTTTCCCTTCAGTCCTTGCACTGGCTTGCAGAGGGCTCATCCCCACACTGCAAGAGACCTGCACCAAGGGCATTCTGGCTCCTGAGGCTGCTGACAGAGGGGCAGACCCTTCAAGTTGGCAAGTCCACCTTGAAGATCAGTGAGAATACAGAAAAAAACAAGGCTACATCATACACAGGCTATATCCAGGCTCTGTTTCTTTGATTTTCTTTTTTCCTTTCTTATAGGGAACCTGACCTGGCTCTGGATTTTCACTGTTACTTTGCAGGTAGGTAAAACCATAGAGGGATTGTGATCAGGCTGGCTTCAGAATTAACCCCAGAGCTGAACTGTCTGGGTTAGCAGTGCTCAGAGCTCCCCGACAGACAGTGCTAATGATGACACAGCGTCGCCCTCAAGACTCGTTAAAACCCAGACTTTAACGAGATCACCGCGTATATAAAACCACACAGCCCTGCTGCAGTGCCCATGTGTGGAACCAGACCTGCTTAGAAGTGCATCTGAAAACCTTCTCCTAGCTATGGCAGGTCTCCAGGCTGCCAGGACTGGCACAAGTGGGAAGGGGCATGGTGGGTACTGGGGGGTTAAAGAGTCCTGGGCTCTGCTCGGGTGGGGATGCAAGCAGGGAAGGGCAGCATGTTGCTTTGGGATGCCCCGTCCATTCCCAGGGCTCACCTCACTGCTTAAACCTTCCCGAGGCGAATGGAAGTCACTGCTCAGCTCAGGGCCATGAACATTAAGTTCACCCTTAGCCATGCATGGCCCAAAATGGGCTTGATCCCAGAGGAGATATATGCCACCAAATCCAGCTGCCTTTTCTCTCCTAAAGATAAATCTCCCACAACAGCCCAGGCAACAGGGATAAAACAAACACAAATACAAAGCAGAGAAATTTTGGCTGCCCAAACTTTTTGGCTGGAGCTGGCTGTAGCATCCTGGCAAAGCAAACACTCCCGCTAGCATTTGTTCCAGCTTTCCTGTGAAGCCCCCTCTTTTATTAAACGGGGTCCTGGCGAGTTTGCTTTGCCGCCCATCAGAGCGGCCCTGCGGGGTCAGGCTGGCTGAGGCAGGGAGATGCGGAGCCAGGAAGGCCTGACCCCACCCCAGACCTTATTGCTTCTTTCAGCAAGAAGTGTAACAGCATCACAACCCTTGGTGACATCGAGGGACTATTTGTCATCGGGAGAAATGCACAAGATGTCACTGGCAGGCGACAGGAGGAAAGCCAAAGGCTACAGCAAAGCACAAGGCAGGCAGAGCTCCAGCATCCCAGCACCATGTGTTGCTGGCGCTTGGGATCCTGCCTTCACTGCCCTTGTGGGCTTGGGCATGTGTTGGGTGAGGCTCTGCCTGCACTCAGTGACACACACACGTGCACCACCTCCATTGGGACACCATGGGTGAATCCGGCAGTCTGGCTGCTTATCTTCAGCCATGAGAGGGAACTAAACTGGAGCTGGGTGGATGATGGGAACACAGTGACCCAGTGAGGAGCTGGTACAGGCATCGTGTTTGGGACAGGCTTCTCTGTAATACCAGCTTGGCTTTTCCTCTGCCTGCAGCAGCATCTTCCCAAGGCTCTCAGCTTCACAGATATTGCACTGATGGAGAGGGATTCCCCCCCTTAACATGCCGCTGGGTGCTGGTTGGGGCAGCCCTGGCTTGCAGCAAATTTGAATCAAGGATTCAAAAGCTGAAAAAGCTGTTCTGAAATCCTCCCAAAGCAATAGAGGGAAGGAGTCAGGTCTGCTCAGTGCTTTTCAGTAAGACCCTGGACCAGTGTCCAACTCCACCCAGTGAACTGAGGGATTACAAGGCTGAGGCAGCCAGGAAATCAGTTTGGAGATGGTCTTTCATGTCCCATATGCTCCTGGGACTGGGTTCAAGCAGCCATGGTGAAAATTCAATAGAAAAGGGTTGGCTTGAAGTCTGGGGTGGGAGATAAGCACGGCGACATTCCATCCAGGAGCTGATGCCCAGGAGGGAGCCCAGCCACCATCCCTGGTCATACTCATCCCTAGTGCCTCCCCTCCAGGATGACCTCCCTTCTCTGCCCTTAACCTGACAGCTGTCTTGCTGTGTGAAGTGTCTGTGTAGTGTTCCAGGTGTGCATCCAGGTCTGGACACAAGATCTGGTCACTGCTCCTGTTTGTTCCACGGCATCACTCTTCTCCTGTTATTTTTGAAGCAGCCTGGCTTGGTGAGGCCCCTCACCAGCCTCTCCATAATGTGCACACGTGTTCCTGTGCCTTCAGCAGCTTCTCCTGGGCTTTCCTCCTGCTCTACTTAATTAGGCACCGAGGGAGAGGGACAGTAACCAACAATTAGGTGAGCTGGAGAAGTGCCCTGGTTTTCTGGCCTCGCTGCTCTGAGCACCTTGGGAACTATTTTCCCCTGAGATAGGAGAAGGAGAGGGAGGAAGCCAAGGCTCTTGGAGAGATGGAGCAAAGCAGCATCAGCTGGAAAGAGCAGGCAGTGGTGGGATGAGGCAGGTGAGGCCATGGGAAGGGGTGAGGCCATGGGGTTTGCTCTGAATAGGTGGGGTTATGGGATTGTCATCAGACAGCGTCATCTGGATGGAGAAATGTCCTCATGCAACACTGATACCCCAGGAAGTGCTCAGGAGTGACAGGCCAGTGCTGCTGCCCGAGCTTGGCTCTGCGGTCCCTGCCCACTGGCATGGCCTGCTTATGTGGCTGTGATGTCCTGAGACCACTGGGCTCCCTTCCTTGGAGGTTGTGAGTTTTGTCCATTCATAACTGTTTTGTGATCCTCAGAAATCGCCTTCCCCATGGCCACAGTGGCATCCCCGGGGAGGGATTACCTCCTCCGCCAACTGTGTGCCTGGCCCAGTTGGAAACAGTTCCGAGCAGCCTCTGCCTCTCTTTCTGTTGCCAATTCAAGGCCTTAGAGCTAATCTCCAGTGTCGCCAAGAGATCAAGTCTTGGCCCTGCTGGTAATGGTGTGATCCCAAAATATTTCGGGAACAGAGAACTTGGGATACTGAGCCAGATGCTGAGCTCCTGAAGAAGACAGGAGGGGAGGGGGGATCTGACTGCATCCAGGTGAATCTGGAGGCTGTGATTTAGCTGGTGAAGGTGGTAACTGTGTGGGTGACAGATAGAGATGACTGCTCCAAAGTGACCTGAAAATGCAATGGAAACCAGCTGAAGTGCAGCAGTCAAAGGCTTGGGAGCATCCAGCTGCTCTCCTCATGGCCTGGGACCTACCCAAAGGTGCTGTGGGAGCCCCACAAATGGGCTGCTGCAGAGGAGGAGAAGGATGCTTAGGCAATTAACAAGGATGACTGGAATCCTACTACCTGCATCCCACTGCAAGTCTAAATGTCAGAGACTTTCTTGGTCCTGGCATCTCTGAAATGTTCAGTGTTGGCCTTGTTAAGGCTAGAGCTGTCTCTGTGTCTGGACCAAGAAATTCCTGCCAAGATATTATTTGGCCAAAGTCCTGGAGGCAGGATAAGTCACTCTGGATTTGCAAACCCCAGGCAAGTGGCTGTGTTTATGCTCAGGCACACCCCCAGGAGCAGCCGTTCCTTATCTGCATCCACCTCTGCTGATCCTGCTTCCCTCAGGTTGTCTCAGCCCTTACTCCTGCTCCTGCCTCAGCTCCCTTAGCTTCAAATCCCATTAGGCTTCAGCAGTATCCTCTCAGAGGGATTTTCAGAAGGGTTGTGCCTTGCCCCTCAACTGGGGAGCTCTGCTGAGTGACACAGCATCCAAGGAGTGAATGCAATACAAATCACCCATTTGTCCCCGGAGCAAATGGCCTGGCACTGGCAAGGGGCTGCTCTCTCATCTACAAAGCAAAGCAGCTCCCCAGGGACAGATCCTGCCTTCTCTGTCTCCTGATGGAACTGGTTGTGCATCCCCAGGTCCATGTTCCCCTCCAGATGAGGCCTCTGGATGTGAATCTCCCATCCCTGCTGCTATAGAGGGGAGAGTTACCCATTGCTGCTGCCTCTTTCTGCCTCACAGGGAAACCTCTGGTGGGGTGGAACCTCCTGCATTTGCCAAATTTTCCACTGGAACCATGATATGAAATGATCCACGGAGCTGGTCCCCTGCTTGGCCATCCTTGCTGGCACCTCTGACTCCACTCATCCAACGGGTGTGAGTCTGAACTGCCACCAGCAAACAAGTGACAAGTGGCAGCGGGTCCAGCCGTGCAGAATGAGAAAGGCAGTGGGGGAAGGCTGGTGGAGAGGAGAGGCTGTCCGGGTGAGACGCATCGATCAGAGGCATCCAATACATTATTCATAACCAACCTGGGCTGCAGCTCAGGAGAAACTGGTGAGCACACACTTCTCCGTGGGAAATGTGCCTGCCCTGGGCTCCAGCTCATCAAACACCCTGGTAGGCAGTCACGACG